ATCTTGATATGGGATATGGCATGGGAAACTTGAAGTGAGGTTGGTTTCTTTGTAAATGTTGCATTTTATTGCCCTCAGAAAAAGCTTCCACTTAAAAGCCAGCTTAGCTTCAACTGCATCTCTGGAGTAATAGCTCTTGAAGTGAGTTCACATACTCTCTCCCTTTGTGTGTTTTAGGCTCTGGGCGTTCTGCATTAACTGCATCTACATTCCCTGTGCTGCAGCAGCACCACTACGTGAATTATGCTGTAATACCTCATGGAAGAAATGGCTGTTTCTCTGTCAGTGGCATTGTGGCCGCAGCCTTTGGGGCCACAGAGTTTCTAGGGCAATACATTGTCAACCGCCTGGGTAATACTCCCATGAATAACGGTCAGAAGTGCAGGCACACATCCAAATTAGGGACATGTGTGTATGCCCTGCACAACTGGGATGGAGAGCTGACCTTCAGAACATAGAAAGGGACCAGTGCAAGATTGTTCCTCGTGTTTAATGTATGGGATGGTTTGGATAGGGCTGATCCTGCCTCAGGGAGGGGACTGGACTAGATGACCTGTGGAGGTCCCTTTCAGCCCTACTGCTCTCTGACTCTATGTTCATAAAGCCAATATTTTTGTTTGAAGCAGTATCAGTTAAGCATGTTATCTGGCACAGCCACTAACCTGTAATTTATGTAGTGTTTAACAGGGCTCTTCATGAGTGAGAACTAACAAAGCCCAATATACTATGCATATAGGAATAAATCAATATATAGGACAAAAAGATCAAATTAAAGGCAGTATGAGCCCACTTACTTTACAGTGAGCTGTTTCAAAGATTACATTTCCAAGAATTCATTCTATAGAACAGATTTCAGGGAAATAACATTACACATTCAATGATAATATAGTTCAGCCGGAGCCAAAAGTAGTCCCATAACCTCTCCAAGTCATCTTGGCCTGCCCAGTATATTGTACTCTGATCCCTTTCTGTCTCCCTCCCCAATTTGCTGCCTTGCTTTCTGTTTCCTGCCCCACCTGCCACTGTACTGCCTGTCCCCTCCCTAATCTGCCATGTGCCACACATAGAGGCTGCCCATGCCACTTGTGGCATCTGTGAAGCAAGTTGGCCATTCCTGATGTAATTAGAAAATAATTAATATGAAGGATATATGCTGTCAATCACTGATTCCATTTCAAACAAAACATGCACCCTTTGTTTTTATTCTTTTCTCAAAATTTCTCTTTTCAAGGGACAGTTGTATAAAAACCATCATATTCAAGCTTATCTGTTTCAAAGAAGTTTATTCCCAGCAGTTAATGACAACGTATATTTTATAAATCTTTATCAACTTTCTGACTCTTCCTAAGAAATTAGATCCCATCTTCATAAGCCTCTTGCTCAAACATGCCAAAAGTTACTGACATTAGAAAATGCACAAAGAACAAAGCATGAGATATTTGATATTTGAGAAATATTTGAGATAAATCTGTTTTATGTTTGTTAACTGTTAAAAGGTTTCTGAAACATCTTATGCATAAGGTCTTTTCTTTTTAAATCCATGTTTTTCAGCCTGCAATATCTGCTGTTTATTTTTATCTGGGCTAGTAACACTTCTGCCATCTCATTTCACTTGAAGCAATTCGTGCTGTTGAATGCTGTGGTTGTTCTGTAATATTAGGTTGACACTACAAAACATTTTCAGTTGCTTGCTGGAAAACATGTATCACACCTCCTATATTTTAAACATAGGGCTTAATGTTAAGATGCTCATAAATAAGCATTTAATATGATCTGAAGGGGTGCAATCTACACGTGCCATTAATGCATAGTAGTAAACTGTGCAGCGTATTGCTCCACCATTTATTGCTCCCAGAAAGCTCCCAGGCATGCAGTTTATAAGTACACCTAGACTGCAGCACACTGAACAGGGTTGCAGCAGCCCCAGCTGGCAGAGGGCCCTGATGGCCAGCCTGCCAGCCCAGAGCTTCTTCAATTGGGCTCAATGTGCTGAGGCATCTGGCTGAGGCATGAGGGTGCTCCCGTACAGGGCTAGCCAGCAGGCAGCCCCCACACTGGAGCACCCTCATACCCCAGGCAGCCAGATCAGGATCTACACATGTGCTGCTGCGCATGAAAAAGCTCCATAGCTGAGTAGTACTTAAATACAAGTACTATCTTGCTGCGGAGTAAACTAGTTTCATGTGCCCTATTAGGGGCACACATACAGATGCCAAAACATTTACTGAGCAGTTAATTAGTCAACTGCATAGTAAATGTATCATGTAGACACGCCCAAGCAGTAGTATTTAGGTCTTATGTGAACTTAAATGGCATTTGCAATGCTATAAAAGCAACACAGTTCACCAAAATCTCACAGATATATACATTCACGTTTTGATGATGCTGTATTTATATACAATAGCACCTTCCAGTGGCTCCCAAAGCAATTTGCAAACTACAGATACTGTATAAAAATTATATATAGGAATCACTTTTCCCATCACTGAGCTGTGGCTACCAGTGCAGTGGCATATAAAACTGTTGGAGAGTGCACAACATTTCTAAGGAATACTTTTACACCAGAAAATGACTAGCATATCAGAACTTAAGGTTACATGGGGAGTTTTGCTGGACAGACTAGATTCAGAAATTAGAACTTATCCCATTACATCACAACTAAGGCTAGAGTGCATGTGTACACATACTTTGAAGACACAAGTAGCATCACCTTCTTATAAAAAAGAAAAAAAAGAAAAAAGACAGACAAATTTATACTTGGATCTAAAAAAAAAATCAAAATCTGGCATTAGGCATGTAAGTTTGAAAATGTCAGCTGAAAATCAGCTAATTGACATGGAAATGCATAGTAAACAATACTTAAGCAATTATAACTACACTCTACTATTCAGAGGGTTCCTGAATTTCTGCTGTTAGACTACTCAGGCACATTAATTAAATAAGCTATTTTAAGTCAATGTTCTGGTCTTAATAACGGCTTCAGTTTTAATCTTACACTCGCTTTTTAATTATTAAAAAAACTCAGTGGGAAACGCATTCTTAAGTAGTGTGTATTTTAAAAGAACAAGAGAATGTGGTGAACTACAGAAAACAAAATACTGAAGCTCTAATGGTAACCAAGTAATCCAGGAATTGAATAGTACACTGATGGCTTATGCTGCCATGAGATTGCTTCAATAGAATTATTTCATTGGAAATGCTGGTAATGCCGCTTGCTGTCCCATGTACAATAAACTAACACTATAGAGCAGTGATACTCAATCAGGGTGATGCGACACCCAGGGGTGCCTTGAGATCCTTTCATGGGAACTGTGGGGTGCCACACAATGTTAGACTGTTAGGCATGTAAAACATGATTCACAAGATAAACCTAGAGAATTCAATTAGGAATCAATATCGTTAAAAATATTCTGACCTACTATGGTGTCTCTGAGCTCTTTGCAACAGAAAAAATGCTATATTATTTTTTTGTAATAAAAAAAACAGTCAAATCTAAGACCAGGCATTTTCCGAGGGGTGCTTTGAATCTAACTGGTTGAAAATCACTGCCATCGAGTTGTCGTTATGCTAATGAAAATATATGGCTATTGACCTTATCTTCTAACATAACTTAATATTCATCTAATTATGAAATATGTTTTGTAATTAAACATTTATTCCCTTCAGTCAAAGAGCAGCTTTACCAAGAGATTGGTACCTCCATGTGAGAGAGAGAAAAGCAATTTTTAAGCAAGATACTCAGTTTGCAAAACATTTTGATTTTAAGTTACCCAGCAGTTTCATAGTTTCTAGGGTCGGAAGAGACCTGAGTAGATCATCTAGTCCGACCCCCTGCCATGGCAGAAAAGAGTACTGGGCCAAACGATCCCAGCAAGGTGTTCATCTAACCTCCTCTTAAAAACCCCCAGGGTGGGAGCCTGCACCACCTCTCTTGGAAGTTGGTTCCAGATCCTA